GCTGTCAGCCCAGAGCCCGACGCAGGGCTCGAACCCACAGACCTTGAGACCATGACCTGAGCCGAAGTCGGACACTCAGCCGACTGAGCCAGCCAGTGTCCCTTCTGCATCTCTTGAAGTGATTATATAGTTTGTCTTTTTTAGTCTGCTAATGTGGCAAATTACATTTTTGAATATTAAGCCAACCTTGCATTTCTGAGGTAAGTCCCACTTGCTTGTGATACATCATCCTTTTTCTATATTGTTGGGTTCAATTGGCTAAAATTCTGTTAAAAATTTTTGTATATGCATTCATGAGAGATATTGGTCTATGGTTTTCTTCTTATTTTTTTTTTTTCTGGTTTTGGTATCAGGGTGGAGTATATTGGTGAGTATTCTCTCCTTTTCAATATTCTGAGAGAGTTTGTACAAAATTGGTATTATTTCTTTAAGGATTTGGTGCAGTTCCCCAGTGAAGCCTTCTGGCCTGGAGTGTTCTTTGTGAGAAGATTTCTAACTGCACATTTCAATTTCTTTAATAAATACAGAGCTACTCAAGTTATCTGTTTCTTCTCAAGTGAGCCCCATTATTTTGGGTGCATAAAGAAAAACCCCATTGTTTTCCTTACACTACACACGATACTCTGAGTGCATCGTACCCAATGTGTGGTAGGTTTTTCCCAACATCAAGCAATTATCTGCCACACCAGCTGGGTGGTCCATAATTCAACTCGATTCTGACCCTACTTGAAGATGGCCTCAGACTCCACAGGTTAAGGGCTTAGTCTCACAAGACTCTCTCCCCCCACACTTCAGATGCAATCACAAGTCCCAGATTGTTCCTATGCTTCTGACTGACTGGCTATAAATCCGAGTTCCCGTGACCTCCTCCTTGGGTTTCGTTATTTGCTAGAACGGCTCACAGAACTCAGAGCAACACATTTACTAGTTGGTTATAAAAGAATATGATAAGGAATACACACATCTACGTAGATACACTCACACATAAGTGTACTCATATGTGTATATATACCTATATGTAAAACACAGGCGTAAACATATATTAATCATACGCATGCAATTTGCTTATTTTTGACATAAAAACACACACTGGAGGAGTAAATCAGAAACTAAGAAAAATTAATGGAAATGAGAACAGGGGATGAGGAGAACAAAGTGGAGGATATAGGGAAGATTTCTTTGGGTATAATTTTATTTTGTGCACATAACGGTGATTTTTGAACTGCATAAATGTATTGCATATTCAAAAATGAAATACAATCCAAAGAAAAACAAAAGAAATTCTAGAATTGAAAACAGGCTGAAATAGGTCCACTTGGACATCAAATGTGTAATATAATTACACATCTCCTTGTGCACATGTGCATATACTTCAGTTGGATATTGTTTTGGGGAGTCGCACAGCTACCCTCAACTTCAGAGATATTCTAGGGGGACTGGTAAGACTCAGTAACAGCTAATACTTACAGATAAGGTTTATTACAACAAAAGATACAGAACAAAAGCTTCTGTGTTGTCTGGTAGTGGGGAACTGTCTCAGTGTATGTTGAAGTATCTTTATTTCATCTTCATTGTTGAAAGATGTTTGTTCCAAGGTTGTGTTTCAACCCATCCAGATACCATTCCATTGTCTTCTGGCTTCCATTGTTTCTCATGAGAGTCAGCTAACAACTGAATTGCTAATCCTGTGAAAGTAACAGCCTTCTTTTCCCTCTCCTATTATCTGTATGATTTTTCCTTGTCTTTGGTTTTCAGCACTTATACCCTGCTGTGTCTGTTGTTATTGCTGTATTCTCTTTGGTGTTCATTGTGCTTCTTTTTAAAAAAAATTTTTTTTAACGTTTATTTATTTTTGAGACAGAGAGAGACAGAGCATGAGCAGGGAAGGGGCAGAGAGAGAGGGAGGCACAGAATCTGAAACAGGCTCCAGGCTCTGAGCCATCAGTACAGAGCCCGGCATGGGCTTGAACTCACAGACTGCGAGATCGTGACCTGAGCCGAAGTTGGACGCTCAACCGACTGAGCCACCCAGGCGCCCCTCGTTGTGCTTCTTAAATATGTGTGAATTGAAGGCTTTCATACATCTAACAAATTCTCTGACGTTGCATCTTCTTCTCCATTAACCTTCTGTTCCAATGAGACTCCTAACGGAACATATGTCAGATCTTACTATTTATTATATTCTCTATAGCCTTCAGTCTATTTTGTATTTTTCCATCCTTGTATCTCTCTGGTTTTCCTTGTAGACAGAGCTCTTTTCCTCTGAACTGTCGTTCAGTTCACCGGTTCTTCTGTGCCTAATCTGCTGTTAAACCCCTCTGTTAACTACCGATTGTTAAGCGATTTTAGCTTTAGAGCTTCATTTTACTCTTCTTCTAATCTTCATGTCAGTTTTTGTAGTTTCCAGTTCAAAAATTTTCATTTATTGTCTATATTACATCTATATCATATTATCTATATCTATATTATATCTATATTATCTATAATTATCTATATTGTTTCATTTATTATCTTCTTTATCGTAAAGTCTGTTGGGCAATCTATTTGGAACCCTCACACATTGTCACTATTCTCTATTATTTTCTCCTGTCTCATCGACACTTGTTTACGTTGGCATCTCTCCTTATGTGCCAGGTGACATTTGATAGTGTGACAGACCATGCGTTTGAGAAGTTGTGCTGATTTTTTCTTAATTAAGGCCTTAGATGATATATTCTTCTGGGGATTTTTGTTTGCTTATACCAAGGACTTGGAACCATTAGCAGAATAGAACGATCTGAATAAATGCTAAGGATTGAGATTTGGCGGGGGCGGGGGTCATCCAGTTGACTTAAAATTTGGAGGCAGCTATTCAAGTTCTGATCTATTTCTGGTTCATTCTTGTTTTTAAGATTCATCTGTTTTTGATCCCAACCCAAAGAGATTGGAGGATTTGATGTGGCTTTCCGTTTGGGGGGCCCAGCTTCCAACTTCTGTCCCCCTGGCCTCACATGGTTGTCAAAAGTGCTACTCTTCTTTTTTGACACTTTTTCTGGAATTAGCAAATGCTCCTGAGGCAAAGTAGATTTACATGCTGAGCTCACCTGCTTGAAACTTCGTGTTCTCCCACATCCTGGCTTTGGAACTCTTCACTTCCTTGTTAGGTCTCCAGTACAGTCAAGTAGATAGACTCTTCAAGTCCCGGTTTTAAATTTTTCTCTCTGAGACGTTAGGTTCAGGTGACCCCACTTTCCATGATCACAAATGGAAGTTTCTTTTTCTTTTTCAAGATACTATAGAATATTCTCAAAAATTATCAAAAAGCTATGCCTCCAAAAAGGACTTAGCCTGAAAAGCCCCCAGGAGAGTTTTGGTAAACATGTCAAGAGCAACATATTATAGTGCCATATTCACTGCTCCCAAGCATGGGAAAAGGAGGGAAACTTCCAGCTTCTTTTTGTGACTGTATCGCTGATTATAAAACTTGACAGAGGGTACATGCACACACACACACACACACACACACACACACACACACACACAGTTCCAGGATCTTCAGTAATAGATACCATCTCCTGGAAAGTCAGTCTTCTTACTGGTTTTAGGGCACAATTCGTTTGAAGTTGACATTTCCTATTCTCCAATTTAAAAGTGAAAATTAAGTGACGTGATATAAGGCATTTCTTTGAGGAGGTAAGCTGGGTTCTGTTTTGTGGTTGGATAAAAGGATCATCAAGAGTCAAGCAAAGCCTCCGTCAGTACGAGGACAGAGGGTGTGTACGTGGGTACCAGCCTTGAGTTAGGTCTATTTCCAATTGACCCACCTCTTAGGACTTCATAGCTGTAAAATGGAAAAATGAATGGTGGTGAGATAGTCGAGGATTCAGTGAAACGACATTTGTCAAGAGCCCGCGCTACACAAATACTTGGTTTTCGTCTTCCTGGCCATTTGTCTGGATTGTAAGATGAAAGACAGTTTCCAGGTTTTCTGAGGGACCGAGTCTGTGGAAACTTGGAGGTGGGTATGTGCGGAGCGAGTATGGGGGTGGCTTTCAAGGGCGCTGGGCCAAGGCCGGTGCGGACCCGTGACGGGATGGTAAGCACCAATGGCAGTGTCTCTGTCGAGAGAAGATTTTATGGAACGGGGAGGGCTACTCATCGCTTAATAAGAAAGGGACTCTTTGACTGACCCTTATTTATATTTCAGGCTTATAGGAGAAAAGACTGGAAATGTTGGAAGAGGAATAAATATTGCCATTGTCAACTGTGAGTTATTAAATGTTTTCTTTCAAACTTCTCTAAAAGCTCCCATGATTGGGTTTTCAAAGATACCTTGGGGTTTTTTATGATTTTGGCACACGATCTAGTCTAGGCTTACATCTGAATGCGTTTTTAAATTATTGGGTTATTTTTATAATGCCTCACTGTCCAGATTATTTGTGGTTTCTACAAAAAAAAATGGGGTGGGGGGCTCCTAGCTGGGTCAGTCAGAGGAGTGTGCAACTCTTGACCTCAGGGTCGTGAGTTCGAGCTCCATGTTGGGTGTAGAGTTTGCTAAAAATAAATAAACTTTTTTAAAAAGTCAAATATAAATAGGCTTTTAAAAGCCCCCCAAAAAATAAAAAGGGCCCCCAGAAGGCAGGGTTAAAACCAGCTAAGCATGCTATGGGGGCACAGACCGGTCTGGCATTGCTCTTGGATTCCTACGAGCCCTGCAGAGGGTGGCACCAGCAGCCAGTCCCCACCTCTGTGAGAAAATGCCACTTGGGCCTCAGGGGAAGCCAAGCCTGGCATCCTCGTAGACCTGGGAAAGACATCCTGTCACGATTGCCACTGGGGGGCCCATGACCGTGAGAACTGTTGCAGGCTTGGGGAATGGGTTTTTCA